GTGATCAATAATTCTTACATAATAACATTAAGAGTACAATGTAGAGTAGAATTTGCGTCATGAGTAGGATTTTCATTTCGTATTTTCGTTGGTCGTTCGGAATCCTACTTCATCTTGTTTTTTTAAATTTTTTATGTTCTTGTTTTAGTACATGGTCTTGGGCCAAATTTTGCCAAAAATGAAAAGTTGAGAATTCTCAATTTTTATTACATTTTCTGATACATATACATGTTCTTATGTTGTGTAGAAAGTTTGAGCTGATTCTGATAAAAATTGGATTTTTTACAAATTTTTAAAGTTGCTAAAAAACCAGCCCAAAAACCCTGTATGATATGTATTGATCTACTACATTTACATGTACATGTATTTACATGTATCATTATTATTATTATTATTATTATTATTATCATTATTATTATTATTATGTAATGTACATGTACATTTCATGTTTTCAGATGTTCGTACTCAGGCTAATTACCAGTTGATGGGCCGTCATTTTGTTGGTCTCATTTTCTCTTGTTTTGAAGAAATTGATAAAGTAAGTAACCACACCCACTTTAATTAACCACCATCACCTCCACCCACACACAGAAATGCTCCACTAAAGTTATCTGTTTTCAATCAATTCCAAAACTAAACGATCCTTTAAAGTAAGCCTCGCCCTTAATAATAGACCACGCCCATTTCTCCACCCACTAGTTATGAACATGTTACATTAGAGTGTAAGGTGGTCCCTACAGTACAGGGGACTGTGAGTCCTATGGCTTCATCTGGTCTCATTAGATTATTAAATATATTAATTGAAGAAGAGAAGCATTCATATGAGAACAACCAGAAGTAGGTTTTATGATTATTATACTGTACAAGAAGATTTATTGGCAGGAGTAATGTTCAGAAAATTTGCCTGTGGAAAGAAATTGGCAAATTTTATATTGGCGATTTTGTGCCACGTGACATTGAACATGCTCAGATTGAAACAAAATGGCAGATTTTATATTGACAATTTCTTCATAGAACCGCCAATTACCAATATTAATTCCACACTAATAAATCATCTTGTACGGTATATTAACCTAAAAATAAGAAAATTAAAATTTTCAATAAATAAAATTTTATTTTTCTTATTTTTAGGTTCAGTAGTGATGAGCTAACACTGTTGCATAACGGAGCAGGTAATTAATTAATTAATTAATTAATTAATTAATTAATTGTTATTAATAGTTTATGTTCAAAGTCTGTCTCAATTACTTCAAGTGATTGGAGCTCCTTTATTGCAGTTATTACAGGAATTATTAATTAATAATAATAATGTTATTAATAAGTTAGAGAAAGAGAGAGATAGACTATTAGTGTCGCTAAGCACTGAGGGAGAGTCCGTCTAATTATTATTATTATTATTATTATTATTATTATTATTATTACTGTCACTTTTTAATACGACCTACCCTTAGCTTATTAATAGTTATTGTTTCGCTTATAATGTATGTGTTTGTGGAGCCTGCAATATAATTTATAGACACTCTCAGATACTAAGCCATTGTGTCAAGTTTTTCCTATTTATTTGCGGCTTTTTTCAAGTTTTTTAAAAATCCATCTGCAGCGATAAAAATTAATCAAAAAGTTTATACTCAAGTTGATAAACTATGGCAGCATAAAGTAATAACGAAAATCACTTTAGACTCGAGTTAAACAACGATAAATTGACACACTATTTTTCTTCCCTTTTCAAATTCAATCAAGTACGAATCCATCCTTAGTGTCTTCATTACATGTACATTTCCAGCATATCCTGTGGATAATGTACCAGTTAGTGTATTATCATTATACAGTTTATACTCACCAGCAATCCTTACTCACGATACCACTAAGGAACTCATAGTAGAAAGTTTTACCATCCAGCTGGCTGTAAGATGAAGGACATTCCACTTCAACTTTGATAAGAAGAGGCTTCCATGGTGAGTCATCATTTTGAGCTGATATCTGTGTGGTACCAATTGAACTGGCTTGATGGACGTAAAGAGAACAAGAGTCCACCTTAGTGAATGTGAATGCATAATTGTAATCAGCCTATAAAACAATGTACATCATTATAATGTATGTTTATTGTCATACCATACTCAGAGGGCTTGTATTTTCAGCCATCTGTATGAACTTTTCCTTTAAAAAAGTGTCATTAGGTATTTTACTGTTTATGAAAGCAGCAGAATCAGAATAGGTTATATTGACTAGTACACATTCATTTGATGTTGATGGATCTTGAGCAGAAAAGACCTCGTGGCTTTTAGACTTTTTATGAAATGTAAATAATTTGAATTCCCATTTTCGTAGTCGGAGACTTTTCTCAGGCAATTCTTTCTGAATTTTCTCAAAACTACCAATCCCCTTCACTTCAGCAATGTAGCAGTCTCCATCTTGAGTTGTCTTTGATACCTCGATATCAAACTGCCTCTCCAGTACATCAAGGACACAAGCAGTACTTGTGCTTGAAGGATTTCTAGGCTTGATCTGGATCACTTCCATTTAAACTCAACCACCAGGGCTTTCTTTGTTGACAGTTTGGACAGTGTGTGTAGTGTATTCATGAGGTAGCCCTATAAGGCAGGCAGTTGGTCTAACTTCATAGCAGAGATACTATCTATGTAATTATGATAATTCTCTCCTCAAGTCTATATAAAGATCATTTCATGCTATAACAATAAACTAATTTTTTGATTTTTTTAAATTACCACGACATCATTTTCAGCTGCACCCATATTGCTGTCATTATTTTACCTATTAGTTGTATTGTTTACATCTAAATAAATTATGTCAACTTTCTTGGCCCAGATATGTAAACTGATAATGATGACTGCGCTTTATTTGCTGTAAACAAAAATGTTTGCTGAAATGTATTGCCCAGTCAGCATATGCTGCATTATGTTTTTGTAGATAAAAATGTAATTTTAGGTATGCTACTTTAAGTTATCTGTGACTTAGAATGAAAGACACAATTATTAAGTGGTTACTATGATCTCTATAATAGTTTTATTTCTTCTGCATGATCTATTCTTTTTGTACTTCATAATTTATTTACTTGAAGACCATAAAAGTCCACAAATCTTGATTTTGAATGCCTAATTTCAGACCATAAAAGTCCACAAATCTTGATTTGGAATGCTTAATTTCAGACCATAAAAGTCCACAAATCTTGATTTGGAATGCTTAATTTCATTTACACTGACTACAATACTATAATTTGCACAGTCTATAGTGCATTCATTAATCATGAGGTCGGTCACCTTTGAAAGGCATGCAGTTGTGTTATACCTACATACATATACATATTTGATGTTCTTTGATAACTTTTGTTTACTTAAATAATGTGGCCAATGATTTGGCAACTGACTCAGCATAACACACAGTAAACAATCATATAAATGTATGTATTATACATGATCTCAGTGCTGACTAAGTAATTTATATGTTGACAAGTTATAGCATTGTCAGCAATAAGCATTGTTCATCAATAAAGTTGTGAATAATATTATTATAAATAATAATTTTAATGGAGTACCCAGCTGTGTAAAAAGAATTTATAATAAATGCAATCAAATCATAAAACAATAAGCATTGCGATCAATATAGTAGATATGAATACTATATTTATGATATAAAAATAATCTTATATAGCACAATATATTGGACAGATATTTACAAAAGTGATGATGTGTACAATACAGTCTGACCGTTTCAGAGAGCAGTAGTCATGGAATTGGAGCATAACCTGTAAGTGATGGCAAATTATTTTGAATACTTTCATTTCTTCCAGATCCACTTCCTTTGCACTTGTTGCAAATTTTTTTCCTCTGACTCACAAGACAACAGCCTATAAGTAATGCTAGTATTATAGCAATTACAGGTGTACTATTAAGAGAAACTATTAAACGGCAATAATTAAATGATGGAGTCTTGTAGTTGTATCCCACGTCCACATTAGAAGAAGATTGCAATATCACGTACCATTCAGTATGCTACA